TTGTTTAGAGAATTTCAACTGAGAAAATGTTTCAAAATGAATTGATAAACTGTTAATGACAACTGAAAAGATTGTTGGAATCAAATTGGTTGGATTTTTGGAAAAACTTGATTTCAACATTTTAGTTGCAATTATGTAAAGTTTTAATCAACTTCTTGCCGGTCAACTAGTTGTAATGATTTCTGATAATGAAAACTCCCAGTTGAACTCGACCTGGGAGTGAGTCTGACAGTTGTGTTGATGACAATCTGATAATCTTGAAAGTTGAATGTCTTTCAATTGGGAAAGTATTGAAGGAAAAAGAAGATGAAGAAAAATGTTGACGCAATGAAAAAAATACCATGAATTTCATGTCTTCGTCTTCATCATCATCTTGTTGTTCACTTAACCAGAACCAAATTCCAAGCGTAATTAACTAAATAAGAAAGAGAAGAAAGAAAGATGAAAAGGAATGAAGAAAAGTAACAGAGAGATTGAAATGAGAGAGAGAGAGAAGATTCTGAGTGAGATTGAAGTTTTTTTTCCATCACAGTTGAACTCACTTTTTTATTTGTTATTCAGTTATCAACATAAAATTGACTTGTTCAACAATTACCTTTGAATGAGAGAAAAGAGTATTTCTGTTCCCTGAAAAGTTCACTTATTAATATCAATCATTTCATTTCTTTGACTTCCATTGATCACCATTTCTGGACTCAACACAACCCAAACTTTAGCTCATCTTTTCTGGTGAATATACCAAAGCAATGAATAAAGATTGGCATTCAAGTCACTTTTGTTGCTGGCAATGTGATGAATCTTTAACTGGACAACGTTATGTACTCCGTGATGACCATCCATATTGTGTCAAATGTTATGAATCTGTTTTCGCCAACACCTGTGAGGAGTGCAACAAGATTATTGGAATTGATTCAAAGGTAAGTAAAACTTAAAACCAAATGAACACTTGATTAGCTTCTGTTGCCTTTAAAAGCTCATCACTACTGAATCATTATGACATAATTACTGATAATCACATTTTCCTTCCTATTCCAATCATCACCAATTCACACCATGATATGTTTACATGAATTTAAATTCAACATAAAGGGTTATGTGATGTAAACAAATTGACTAGCATAGAGACAGCCTTGAACCAAAAAAAGTGTAATGCAAAAAGGGTTTTGTTTTGTTGTTTTTTGTGTTCAACTTGATTTGTTGATTGTTTCAGTCTAACCTTGAAATTTTTAAAGTGGCTAAACATGATCAAGAGGAGGATGATGTTCATGATGATTATCATGAGAATGTTACTGATAATCGAAGGCCAAATACTGTTGATTTATCAAGTTGACGTAATTTAGATGAAATTGTTATACAATGTTTATCATGAAACGCTTCATTATTGCTACCTAAACTTGACTATAAGTTGATAATTTTTACTTATTTTTACCAATTTCAAATCTTTACTCAGTGTTGAATGATTGAGATAAATTGAAAAATTGATTCAATCTTTTGTAGGAAATTACACGAGGAATTTCAAGTTCATTTCTTTATCATGTTTCTTCTGAACATTTGATATGAAAAATTTTTGTTCAAAAAAATTGTTTTATTGCAAAATAATATCATAAATTGCCATTTTTTGAGTCTGCAGTAGTTTCATTTTGAATATCATTTTACGTATTGAAATGATTTTGTTTTTTGTTGTAAACTTGACATTGAATTTGGTTTGCATTTATATTACAATTAAGTTAACATTTGGTTGGCAATGATTTTTAGTTTTACTCAACAATTGAATGTCAATTTAATATGCATTTACATTTTAAATGCACTTTCTAATTGTAATGATACCTTTGACAATTGGGTTGATTGTTAGCCTGAGAAGGAATATTTTTAATGCATTTCCTATTTCCTATTGCATTGCCTTTGTTATATTTATCATTATAATATAAAATTTCATTGATTCACAAATATGTTACAGTTAACATGCAAAGGAAGTTCAAGTATTGAACAAAAATGTTTACCAGAAAAAACATCGATTCGAGTCAATCTTAATTGCAAATGAAACTTTCCAGTTTAGTTGAGGTTTAAAATCAAGAATAAGCTTCCATCTTTAGACAATTTTAAAGTAAAAACAATTGTGATTAACTTTTGATAGTTTTGTTTCCATGAATTTGTTCAGGCAATTGAACCAATTGAAAGGTAATGGGAAAATTTTATATTTTTGTCTTCCTTAAATCACTCTCGGTGGTTAAATCGCTGCACTCGGTTCAATTGAAATCATATTAGATTAGCTTGACAAGACTTTGTTTTTTATCCAATAAATATCATGTTAACTTGTTATGTTGATTAAGTTGCAAAAGTTATGCTTCCCGGTCTTGTTTTGGTTTGAAGCCAGGTTTGTCACTCGTTACTTGATTGGGCACTTGAATCGTTTAGATATTCATAACAATTAATCATCACAATATTTAACCCAAAATTTTCTATTACTTTCACTTTTCCTCTTCCATTCATCCATTCAAATGTAGATTAAAATGTCTATGGACACGGCTTTGTACATTTGAAAAATTCAAGTGACGATGAAAATCATTAATCAAGTTTAACATTGAAGATGCACAAATTGGTTACAACTAATTGCAATTTTAGCTTTATTGTAATCAATTATACTAGCGAGGAATCGCAAATATTTTATTTAAGTTATGATATTCAAATGTTGTTTGTTTTCTTGGTCGTAAATTGTATTCATTAGTTTACAGATTGTCAATGTTAACTAATCAATGTTAATAAATTGCAATTACACAATTTAAAAAGCATCTTTACATTGGTAATTAATTATGAACAGTCAAGGTTATTTAATTGTAAAAATGAAACCTTATTGATTGGACTGTTGTTGGGTTTGGCAGGAAAATTAATCAACTGTACATGAAAGGGTTACTGGGTTTGTTTTTGTGTTATGTTGTAAACTTATGTATTCAGTATTGAGTTGGTTTTTATTTTGAATTGATTGTTTTGATACATTTGTTTTAATTGTTGGTCTAATTGTTGCTTTACTCTTTAATTGATTAGGATTTATCTTACAAGGATAAACATTGGCATGAAGCTTGTTTCCTTTGTAATAAATGTCGAGTCTCTTTGGTTGACAAACCTTTTGGCTCTAAAGCTGAAAGAGTCTACTGTGGTGATTGTTACGATGAAGCCTTTGCCAGTCGATGTGATGGATGTAATCAACCATTCAAAGCAGGTAATTACCATCTAATTTGGTTACAGTTAACTTGCTTTATTGATAACCTCAACTCTAGACCCAGACAGGAAGATCCTAAACAAGTCAATTTTGATCTTGAATTTTGGTCAGTCAGACAGTTGACTGGTCTAGTTTAATAGCATACTTTAGACTATGATCGACTGGATTATGAGACTGATTTTATCAAAGAAACAATTAGTTTTAAGTCCGATTGTAAGAGCATTGATATTAAGATATTGTTACGTAAACTTTAAAATTTTTAGCACAATCAATCTTTTCAACAACCATTAGAATATTTTTCCAGCTTTTATATTTTGAGAATCAAATTTTAATCATTAATCCAAAAGAATATCTCGTTCTGAAATTCTCATCTGCAGGTTATTTATACGAATTTGATTGTATTTCCGCGTGATAATGATTTTTAACTTTTGAACCCTTTAGGTATGAAAAAGATGGAATACAAAGGACATCAATGGCATGAAAACTGTTTCGTCTGCGTAGTCTGTGCCAACCCAATCGGTACAAGATCATTTATCCCGAAAGACAATGAAATTTACTGTACTGGTTGCTATGAAGATAAATATGCTACTCGTTGCATCAAATGTAGTCAGGTTAGCAATTGTTCCTAATATTACATCAATAATTTATCAGTTATATTTGATTGTCTAACATTTTCATTTCATTATACAACTTAGATTATCACTTCTGGTGGAGTAACTTATCGTAATGCTCCTTGGCATCGGGAATGTTTCACTTGTACTGAATGTAACAACTGTTTGGCTGGTCAACGATTCACTTCACGCGATGACAAACCTTATTGTGCTGAATGTTTCGGTGAACTTTTCGCTAAACGTTGTACTTCATGTGAAAGACCAATTACTGGTAAGCAAAACGAGATGAGCTGAAATTGAACGCCTATCCAAGCTACTGATGAATTTTAATTTTAATTTTAATTTTATTCTTATTTTCATTTACACCAGGAATTGGAGGAACTCGATTCATATGCTTTGAAGACCGCAATTGGCACAACGATTGTTTCAATTGTGCCGAATGTAAAATCTCGCTTGTAGGAAAAGGATTCATTACTGATGGCCCTTCAATTTTGTGCCCAGAATGTGCTAAACAGAAGCTTCTTTAGACGGACAACTAATTTTATCTTCTTACATTGATCGATATTTCCGACTTCCTAACTTCCTCACTTAAACAATCATCGACAATTACGATTATAAGGATTGTTGAAATAAACGCTGATCCCAAGCTCTTGATTTTACATGCTCGCTAATACATCAACGAAAAAGCAAAAGACAATTATGTTTGCTTATTTAAATTATTGATACAAAAATACAATTATTTTTCAACAATCATTATTGGAATTATATTGCACACCAAAAAAATGAAATTAAATATTTAAGACAATTGCTTGTAGGATAAAGCACACAAATGGCAAATATTGAAAGCACCAAAACTACTTAATAACTTTATTGGGATTGATTGAATATAAATAGGATCAAACCCTTCATTTATTGTATTATAAGACAAACCAAATATGATAATTAATTTGGCCCAGCAGTTTTTCCGTCCGTTGATTGGTGCAAATAACCTTTTTATTAATAATCTAATCTAAAAAACGACAATGAAAGAGTTGATGATTGAAATTGAGCCATCAATGTATTGTAAATGAATTGAAATAAAATTAAATTTTACTCAACAAAAGCCTATTTTCATTCTTATTGAAATTTTTATTATGCATTAATGGTTACTACTAAATAGTTGATTACAACCTTAGATATAATGAAATTGGACAGAATTGTTTTCCAGTACAACAGTTAAATCGATCAACAGAAGCTTCCTTGACAGACAGATTTTAATTCTTGTCCAGTCAATGATTTAACAATGTCCTTAATTTCTTGGGTAACTGTCGTTGCTCCATTCTTTGCGACGAACCAAACTTTGACTGTTGAATAGTTAAAAAGAGAATATTATTGTACGAATTATCGTGCTAAACAAAAGTTTTCCTCACTCAAGTTCCTTACCATCAACAGTTGAAGCATCAATTTTAACACAACTTGCTAAGACGGCTGTATTACTTGTTTTTTTATCGAGATAAGGCATCCAGAATTGACCTCGATGGCCATCTGTAATGAATATAAAATATCATAATAACTCTTTGCACCAACGGAAAGGTTAAAATTAAAAAGTTACCTGATGTAGTGATGTTGAATGAATAAGGATCGTATGTAGCGTTATAAACCTTATAATATGATTTACCATCGAAATCTCCAATGTTAATGTCCATGTACACAAGCGAGCAGAAAAACTGTCACTTCAAAATTTTTACTTTAAACTTAAATATCTTGTTTCAATGATTTGATATTTTTGATCTAATTTTTTTATCTTGATATGGGATCAAAAAGGATAATATTAAGGCACTTTAGGCGGGTTAATTAGATTAATTTTCATAAATAAACGTAGTAAAAATGTATCCTTCAAGTGAAAATGAAAGGAAAAGAAATGAAGTTTGTTTTGTGTTGAAAAATATTACCAATAATATAAAAAATTGTGCCAATTTGACTAATGTTAGTCCAAGAACCGTTTTACGAGTGAAAAAACGGTTGAAAAGTGGCCAGTCAATCAAAAGAAAGCCTGGATCTGGACAATCGCCTACTTTAAATTCTACCGATAGGCGGCGCCTCGGTCGAATTGTTCAAAATTGTCCAGTTTTATCCAATGAACAAATCGCTAATCGACTCAGTGAGCTTGGTGCTGCTAAGGTGAGTCGCTTTACCATTGGCCGCGAGCTAAAAAAACTAAAAATTCAGCGGTTTAAGCCGCGTTATAAGCCATTTTTGTCGGCTAGCCATATCAACCGGCGCATCGAATTTTGCAAAGAAAATTCAGCTCGTGACTGGTCAAAGGTTGTGTTTTCGGACGAAGCATCATTTCAATTAAATTCAAATTCATGTCTTCTCCTCGGAAAAACTAGACCAACATATCAAAGGTCAAAATATTGTCAAAAAATCATGGTTTGGGGATGCATCTCCGCTCGAGGTCATAGCGCTTTGAAAATTTGTCGCAGGTCAATTGACTCGAAAGAGTATATTGAAACAATTGGAAATTTTTTAGTTGGAACAATGGATGCTCTTTATCCTGATGGCTACACTTTCCAACAAGACAATGCTCCATGTCATGTCAGTAAAATGACCAAAAATTTTTTTCTGACCTCTGACATTACTGTTATGAGCTGGCCAGCTAACTCCCCTGACCTCAACCCAATTGAAAATGTTTGGGGTTACATGAAAAAACATCTATCAAAAATAAAAATCAAATCAATTGATGAATTAATTGGTCATGTTGAGCGTCTTTGGGATAATCTTACTCATGATTATCTAACTTCATTGACGGAGTCAATGCCAAGGCGCATTAACTTATGTTTACAGGCCAATGGAGGTCATATTCCATATTAAATTTTTAATAATATTATTTGTTTAGTATTTGATTATCTATTTCATTAAATATCAAATTCCAATTCATTATAATTACATGTTTATAATCAAAAAACGAAGTGACAGTTTTTCTGCTCGCTTGTGTATTTGTCCCATTGTGATCTTATATTGCTTTTAGAAAGAATCGAGTAGGTCGCATTTATAACTGAAAAATCATAATGAAAAAAATTAACTTTATTGGAACTTACCTGTCTCGAGTATCACCCTTTTCGATAATGGCAACTTTTCCAGGATAAAGGTTGAAAATATCAATCGTATTATAAACTGTTTTTGGAATAGTTTCATCGCTGCGACCGTAAACATTCCATGTACGTACGAACTGAGTAAGAGAATAATATTTGTCATAATCAAATAAAAAAGAATGAAAAATAGCTTACATTTGAAAAGTACCAATAATCAACTTTGGGGTTTTCTGGTTTAGGACAAGAACCCTTGATTTTAACGGCAAATGAGCTTGAAATTGCAAGAGCAATCAAAGTAACAAATAATATGGACTTCATTTTTAACTGCAATGTTAGTCTAAATGCTTGTTCAATCCAATTGAAACTGTAATGACTTGGTGTAGACTAGTGAATCGCTTTTTATACACAAGAAGTGAGTCGAATGCTTGCCGCACACAGGAAATTTCTGTCAAGGCGAATAACAACAACAGTCGATATAAAAATGTATTTTCTGTATCATTTGTAATGTGTTTGTATTTCATTTTTCCGTACATGAGTCCACTGATCACAAAAAACACAAAATGCACAAACGATACATATATAATATTATGAAGTCTTGTGCAGAGTCAAAGGCTAATTACATTGAAAATAGTTATGCTCATCAACAGTAACTTAAAATACATTTATGCTTTAGCACTCGGTTTACGGTTTTATCTTTCTACTTAAAAGAGTTTCGAGTTTAAAAGTTACAAAGTTTTAGTTCGGATGAACCTTTACACTCGATTTTACAATGGAAAAGGCTAGAAAAGGAAATTGCTAGTTTGATCCCTTAAATAGTGATGAGAAGGAACATCTTTCCTGATCAATAAAATAAAACTTATTGTGATTGAATTGAGAATGATACAAATATTGTATAATTGTTTGTTTACTGCATTTTTAGCTAAAGTTTTCTAGTTAAACAAGTCCATTTGAAATGGAATCAAAATTTAGTAGCTTGTTGAAAAGTTTCTTTCCATTAACCAGAATCGCAATATTGTTAGCCTTGTCAAATCTCCGTTGAGTTGAATAACAATAGTAGATGTAATTAGCCTTCAATTTTGCTCCAAATTACTTTATAATATTATGGTAAATGTATTTTTTGTAATGTTTGTATTATTTGTTCTCATCGGTCTATGTGTCAAAGTGAATTTCTGATCTGTAATTGCACTCAAAGCCATTGTAAGTCATTGAAATCGTTTTGAATCAATTTAAAATGAATTTTCCCAAAGCTTTTGCACTAAACTTTTGATACAATGAAAGCGTAAATTAAATCGATATTTAGTCTTAAAAATATGATCAAGATCACAATCAACCATTAATTAGTCTTGATTGGTGCTAATTATATTGTGATTTTAACGGAAACTATTTATCATACATACGTCATGTAAAATCACGAATGGACTCAGTTTTAAGGCCCCTACAAGCTCACGAAGTCGCAACTGTTCTCATTATGTTCCAGTACTTCTTTCCTCCTGATCATCAAATCGCATTAAAAGTTATTTAACTAAAGATCGTCCAAGCTACTTGTTTTCGAGTTTAGAGCTGAAAATCATCTGTTGGATTCATGTAACATCACTTAAAAACAATGAAGACAGATGCAAATGAAATGTTATTAGTGTTCAGTGTTTGTACAATGACGTGTCAAATCATGCGACAAAACAATAATAATGTAAACGGTTTCAGGTTTCATTGATTCTGAGTTAAAAATTTTGTATCAATTTGCATTGCTAAATACATTTAATAAACGTCTCTGTTGGTAACATTATTTGAAACGAACGAACGAACGAAAGATTGAAAATGAAGCGACCTGTAAAAATGCAAAATGGCTTGACAATGCATCTGATACAAATCAAATCCTGTGCGTAACTTATTTGTTCAAAACCTTCAAAACATAAACCGTGGAAAACAAATAATACATTGTACATTTATCATAATATTTTAAAGTAATTTGGAACGAAATTTAAGGCTAATTACATCGACAATTGTTATTCACTGAAACAGTGAAACAAGTGCAACAGTATTGCGATTCTGTTTAATGGAAAGAGACTCAACAACTCATCTAATTTTGATTCCAATTGATTTGGACTAACTTGTTAGAAGATTTTAGCTAAAAATGAGTTAATATCGTTGTTTATAGCAATTCTAGACACTTATCGAAGAAGCTTCACCTAGTTGAATGATCGGACAAGGGATTTACATTCAGTTTCAATTCAATCACAATAAGTTGCCCGGACGGAAAGGTGAAAGTGAAAGAACATCTGAGAAAGTGAAGTTGGATGAATAAGAAATTTATATCCATCATAACATAAAATGGTTTATGAGTTGTATTGGCAGCAAAATAATTGGCAGTAATAATTAGAAATGCAATAAGCAAATCTCAATAAAAGTTGCATCTTTATAGTAAAAAGTTCATTATTTCGGGTTGTCTTGAGGTCAGAGCCTTGAAAGGATAGTTAAGTGAGTTCATGTCGATTGAAACGTGATTTTTACGAAATTTCAGACAGGTTGAAGCAAACCTCTGAAGATATAACGATTTGAATTTTACATTTAATGTTGAACAAAGCTATATTTGATTTTTGCTCAAAATGTAACTGATAACAGAACCAATAGATCAGATTTTTATTCAACATAAAAAGTCATTGTATTTATTCGATAAAGTAAGATGGATTTCACGAATTGCAAATACAATAGTCAGTTTAGTTTCACAATTGCATTCCAATTAGCTGCCAACAAATTAATCTGATGGAATTGTGATTTGAATGATTAAGAATTGAATAATGAATAAACTGATCTCATCGATTATTAGATAAAATATTTTCGAATCGTAAATAAAACTCAAACCAAATCTCTATCGAAAGGCTATTTAGAGAATAAAATAATAATCAGAACGAGAAATAATGCAAAATTATTTAATATTCTTATTCGAAAACATGGATTTGACACAAATTTGAACATTAGTTTAAAAATGTGTACATAAAGAGTTTAATTGCTGAATTTCATTCTGTATTCTGTGCGAATGAGTTAACAGAAGCTTCCTTGGCAGACGGTACGATATTCTTGTCCAGTCAATGATTGCATGATATTTTTAACTTTATCTGATGGTGAAGCTCCTGTGCTCATTGAAACGAACCATGATTTGACTGTTAAATAAATGAAAAGAATGAAATAAACATGAAAATCATCGAATTCTTGGACTAAACAAAACTGCAAACAATAATTTAACTTACCATCAACAGTTGATTCATCAATTTTAACACAACTTGCTAAGACGGCTTCAGCATACTTGGGACGACCATAATAAGGCATCCAAATTTGTCCTGGATGACCATCTGAAATGAATGTAAAATAATATTGTAACTGGTTGTTTCAAAGATGCAAATCAATATTAATTTTTTACCTGAAGTGGTGTAGTTGAATGTGTATGGATCAAATTCATAGTCATGAACATCATAATATGATTCTCCACCAAAATCGCCAATAATCATGTCCATGTATTTGTCCCATTGTGACCTTATATGACTGTTAAAATGGATGATTAGCAATTGAAAAGAAGCATTTGATTGAAACTTACGTGTCTCGAGCATCACCCCATTCAATCATGACAACTTTTCCAGGATAATGATGACGAATTTGAAGATTATTCCAGACGGAATTGGGTTCAGTTTCTTCAGTTCGACCCAAAACCTTCCAATCGCCTAGATACTAAGGGAATTACATACTATTAATGATACATGTAATAAACGATTAAAAGTACTGAAACTTACGTGCTGAAAGGTCCAATCATCAAGGTTGGCTGGCTCTGGTTTAGGACATGAACCTTTGGTTTTAACAGCAATTGAGCTTGAGGTTGCAAGAGCAATCAAAGCAACACATAAAATCGACTTCATTTTAACTCGAAATGTTTATTTTAATTGGGTTAAAGGATCAATTGAAATGAAAACTGTAATGACTTGTTGGGGATGGTGAACCGCTTTTTAAACACAAGAAATGCATCTAATGTTTAGCGATTATGGGAAATCGCTGTCAGTGCAAATAACAGCTCATATCAATTGTCGATGTAACATTGGACATTGCTCTGGAATTCGCTATGATATTAGAATAAACCAATTTTCGTATGCTTCGTTTTCTTTGATTTATTTTAATGATGCAAAAACAATGGTCTCAACTTCATTATACGATTGATTGTGATCTTGATTATCTTCTTATGATTGAATATGCAATGATCGTGCGGCTATCTACCGTTTTATTGTATCATAATAAAGTTTAGTGCAAAAGCTTTGGGAAAATTCATTTTAAATTTGATTCAAAACGATTTCAATGACTTACAATGGCTTTGAGTGCAATAAAAAATTGAAAATTCACTTTGACACATAGACCGATGAGAACAAATAATACAAACATTACAAAAAATACATTTACCATAATATTATAAAGTAATTTGGAGCAAAATTGAAGGCTAATTACATCGACTATTGTTATTCAACTCAACGTTGATTTGACAAGATTAACAATATTGCGATTCTGGTTAATGGAAAGAAACTTTACAACAAGCTACTAAATTATGATTCTACTTCAACTGGACTTGTTTAACTAGAAAACTTTAGCTAAAAATGCAGTTAACAAACAATTATACAATATTTGTATCAATCTCAATTCAATACCAATAAGTTTTATTTTATTGATCAGGCAAGATGTTCATTCTCATCACTATTTAAAAGCTCAAACTAGCAATTTCCGTTTCTAGCCTTTTCCATTGTAAAATCGAGTGTAAAGGTTCATCCGAATCAAAACTTTGTAACTTTTAAACTCGAAACTCTTTAAAGTAGAAAGATAAAACCGTAAACCGAGTGCTAAAGCATAAATGTATTTTGAGTTACTGTCGACGAGCATAACAATGTAATTAGCCTTTGACTCCGCACTAGACTTCATAATATATGTATCGTTTGTACATTTTGTGTTGTTTGTGATCAGTGGATTCAAATACAAACACATTACAAATGATACAGAAAATACATTTTTATATCGACTGTTGTTGTTATTCGCCTTGACAGCAATTTCCTGTGCGCGGTAAGCATTCGACTCACTTCTTGTGTATAAAAAGCGATTCTCTAGTCGACACCAAGTCATTTAAGTTTCAATTGGATTGAACAAGCATTTAGAATAAACATTAAAGTTAAAAATGAAGACGATTTTATTTGTTGCTTTGATTGCTCTTGCAATCTCAAGCTCATTTGCCGTTAAAATCAAGGGTTCGTGTCCAAAACCAGAGAAACCCAAAGTTGATTATTGGTACTTTTCAAATGTAAGCTATTTTTCATTCTTTTTTATTTGATTATGACAAATATTATTCTCTTACTCAGTTCGTACGTACATGGAATGTTTACGGTCGCAGCGATGAAACTATTCCAAAAACAGTTCATAATACGATTGATATTTTCAACCTCTATCCTGGAAAAGTTGCCATTATCGAAAAGGCTGATACTCGAGACAGGTAAGTTCCAATAAAGTTACTCTTTTTCATTATGATGTTTCAGTTATAAATGCGACCTACTCGATTCTTTCTAAAAGCAATATAAGATCACAATGGGACAAATACATGGACATTAACATTGGAGATTTCGATGGTAAATCATATTATAAGGTTTATAACGCTACATACGATCCTTATTCATTCAACATCACTACATCAGGTAACTTTTTAATTTTAACCTTTCCGTTGGTGCAAAGAGTTATTATGATATTTTATATTCATTACAGATGGTCATCGAGGTCAATTCTGGATGCCTTATCTCGATAAAAAAACAAGTAATACAGCCGTCTTAGCAAGTTGTGTTAAAATTGATGCTTCAACTGTTGATGGTAAGGAACTTGATTGAGGAAAACTTTTGTTTAGCACGATAATTCGTACAATAATATTCTCTTTTTAACTATTCAACAGTCAAAGTTTGGTTTGTCGCAAAGAATGGAGCAACGACAGTTACCCAAGAAATTAAGGACATTGTTAAATCATTGACTGGACAAGAATTAAAATCTGTCTGTCAAGGAAGCTTCTGTTGATCGATTTAACTGTTGTACTGGAAAACAATTCTGTCCAATTCCATTATATCTAAGGTTGTAATCAACTATTTAGTAGTAACCATTGACACATAATAAAAAGCTCAATAGGAACCGTGTGAGTTAAATTAGTTATCATTTTTCACTTTTAAAACGGCCGCAAGTTTCAATGTAGCAACAAAACAAACCGAATGTTATGTTTCGTTATGTTATCCAAAATGTGGCTCCTAAATTTTTTTTACTTGAAAACGGAAAGACTATTTAAGTTGTGCACAAGTATCATTGTCGATTTTTCTAGGTCAATAAATCTTAGTGCAATCGATGCACACTCATCAAGACTGTTCTAAGATAAAAGTCGAAAAATATATTTCGATAAATAAAGCTCAGTATGTTCATCATTAGTGAATTGGAGGTCTGGTCAATTATTGATTAAAGAGACAACAGGTGTGATTTCTCTACATTCTATTCTCGTCCATGTACTCGAAGATTAAATAGAGAATAACAAATAAAACAAATGATACAAAAAATACATTTTAATCTTCTATTGTTATTTAAACTGTCAGTGATTTTACATGAGCGATTCACATGAGTTTTATTACTTGTGTATAAAAAGCGATTCACAAGTCGACAACAAGTCATTACAGTTTTCATTTCAATCGATCATTGAATTTCAAATCAACATTACAAGTTAACATTAAGTTAAAAATGAAGTCAATTTTATTTGTTGCTTTGATTGCTCTTGCAATCTCAAGCTCATTCGCTGTTAAAATCAAGGGTTCATGTCCTAAACCAGAACAACCCAAAGTTGACTATTGGTACTTTTCAAATGTAAGCTATTTTTGATTGTAATCGTCATTATAATTAATCTTATTTTATCCAATCAGTTCATAAACGATTGGAAGGTTTTAGGTCGAACTGAAGAAACTGAACCCAATTCCGTCTGGAATAATCTTCAAATTCGCCATCTTTATCCTGGAAAAGTTGTCATGATTGAATGGGGTGATGCTCGAGACACGTAAGTTTTAATCAAAAGCTTCTTCTCAATTTCTAATCATCCATTTTAACAGTCATGTAATGTCACAATGGGACAAATACATGGACATGATTATTGGCGATTTTGGTGGAGA